ATCCCCTTCCCCATCCCTGCATCCCCTTCCCCATCCCTGCATCCCCTTCTTCATCCTTCCATCCCTTTCCTCCTCTGTCCATCCCCTTCTTCCTCCCTGCAGCCCCCTCCTGAATCCCCCATCCCTCTTCTCGTTCCTCCAGCCCCTTCTCCTTGCCCCTCCTGCCCCCGGAGCTGCCCCCCTGCTCCTTCCTTTTCCTGGGAGGATGTGTTGGGTCTGTCCCTGCGTGTCCTGGAGGGCTTGATGTGGGACCAGGTGCTTTTCCACACCAGGTGTCCGTGTGTCCCTGTGCGGGGGGTGTCGGGGTGCCCTGATCCTTTGGGATTGGGGGGGATCCTCTTCTCCAGCTCTGAGTTTAAGAGAAGGGCTGGCAGGAGGGTGAAGGCACGAGGGGCTTCTGCAGGCTGGGAATTCGGGAGAGCCTGGTCCAGGCAGGGCTGAGGAGGGTTTAGTTTGGGATCCTGGGAGTCTGGGATAGTGGAAATTTTCCCTGTCCATGGCAGGAATGGGATTAGGAGGTGGCCTTAGGAGGGACCCAGTCCTGCTGTGGGGAGCTGTGCTGGGCTGTTGGGGTGGTTTTAGTGACTGGCTGAGCTCTGAACTGGCAAACAGGTGTGGGAAGGTGAGTTGGAAGTGCAGAGCAGGAGCCTGGAGACTCAGGAATCTCAGCGTCTGTGTGAAAGGGATGCTGATGAAATATTCACCAGCGAGGAGCAGTGGGAAGCGCTGAGGGAGCATTCAGGTGGTGGTTTTTTAGTTCATTTGCTCAGTTCTCACTGTAAAAGCTGTCCTTGATAAGCCACAGCACTTCAGGCTGACCCCTCGTAGATGGGGGTGGAGGGAGAGAGGAATAATGAGGAGGCAAAGGCAGAATGTTTTCTCCCAGCTGTTATTCCCGAGGGAATGGCTGCGGTGGGAGAGCACAGCCACAGAGGACACAGATCACATGGAGCAGGATCTGTGCTGAATTATTGACCAAAGCCTGGGAGGGGAATAAATCCATGCTGGCCTAGGAAAGAAGCAGGCTGGCAGGGGCAGGGTGTGGGGTGGCACAGGGAAGGGCTGGTGGTGCTGCAGGGCTGGCAGGTGTGTGCAGGAGGGCAGCTGGCACCGGCTTTGTTTGTTCTCAGCTTGCACAGAAGGAAACTTTCCTCTCCCGGGCTCTTGGCAGGGTTGGGGCGTGGTGGGGAATTCTCCAAGGGCCAAAGTGACAGCACAGAGTGCGGTGGGAGGTGATTTATGAGCTGTTTTGATGTAAAAATGGAGTGGGACCCTTTGGCAGCTCAAGTGGGGCTCTTCCCCCTCCCTCCACACTGGAAGGGGGCCCAGGGCAGCTCTGCCACTCCACAATCCCTGGTTTAACTTGGAGGAGGGGGGAGGTGGATTCTGGCATGGCAAAAGGAGAGGCTCCCAATGGAAAAAGGGTCCCAATGGAAGGAGAATCCCAATGGAAAAGGGTTTCCAGTGGAAGGAGGTTCCCAGTGGAAAGAGGCCTCCAATGGAAAGAGATTCCCAATGAGAAGAAGCTCCCAATGGAAAAAGGTTCCCAATGGGAAGAGATTCCCTATGGAAAGAGGCTCCCAATGGAAAGTGGCTTCCAATGGAAGAAGAATCCCAATGGAAAGAGGCTCTCAATGAAAAAAGATTCCCAATGGAAAGAGGTTCCCAATGGAAAGAGGTTCCAAATGGAAAGAGGCTTCCAGTGGGAAGAGGTTTCCAGTGGGAAGAGGTTTCCAATGGAAAGAGGTTCCCAGGGGGAAGAGGTTCCAAATAGAAAGAGGTTCCCAATGGAAAGAGGTTCCCAATGGAAAGAGGTTCCCAGTGGAAAGAGGTTTCCAGTGGAAAGAGATTTCCAGTGGAAAGAGATTTCCAGTGGAAAGAGGTTCCCAATGGAAAGAGGTTTCCAGTGGAAAGAGATTTCCAGTGGAAAGAGGTTCCCAGTGGAAAGAGGTTCCCAATGGAAAGAGGTTCCCAAATTGCCATTTACTGCCCTGCTGCCAGGCTCTGGGTCCTGGTGGATCAGGTGGAGACACTGAGCTGCTCTCAGGGCACACCTGGCATCATCCCCTGTCACCTGCCCAAGTTCCCATCTGGGATGGCAGAACTTCACATTTCTCACTACTATTATTAATTTAAAAAATCCAGGAGTATTTCTCACTCCTACTGCGTGCAACTCCTGCCTGTCTGATCCTCGCACTGACTGGGTCAGATATCAGAATTTTTTGTGTTTTCTGGGTCAGATATCAGAGTTTTTGTGTTTTCTGGCCTTTTTTTTTTTTGCTTCTACTCCAAAGCAGAGCAGCTGCTGGTTCTGTGACCCCGAAGGACCTTCCCTGCACTGAAGGCACCTTCACATTCCTCAGCAGCAGCTGCCTCACCACCCCTGGCTGCTCACTTTTATTTTCTTCACCCTGGCAGGGCCCACTCCTCTGTAGGATCTCAAAACCAGGAAATAAAATCTCTCTTATTTATTATTTTTTTTTATATTTATTTTCAGCTGTGTATTTTTTGTTGTTGTGCAGAGTTTCCTGCATTGATATAAATGTAATTAATTAAACACAATATGCACCCGTTTTCCTTGGGATGTCTGAAGGGATGTTCAGTCACTCTCCCCACCCCCTGCTTTCTAATTTTCTCTGCTTTTATAATTTTTTAATTGTGTTCTCCTCGCCAGGTGGAAGATGGGAGTGTTCCCCTCATGTTTTAGGTGAAGCCTGCTTGCCATGAAGTCCCGAGGGAGATAGAGGGACTGCAGTGGGAATCCCTTCTCACTCCTCCACAAATCCAACAACTGCCTAATGGTAAGAAACCTGTTGGTTTTAATTAGTGTTACACTTAGAGCTCTCCGTTAATCAAGGAACAGAGCAAAGACTTGGAGCTCCAAACCCACTGGGATGGGGGAGGGCAGAGCTGGAGATGCTGGGAGAGGGTGGCAGAGTTGCCTGGAAATCTGATTGTGCCCCAATTTGCGTCCTGTCCCCAGGGATTGCCTCTCTGCCTGGCGTCATGGGGAGCTGCTGCAGCTGTCTCTGCACAGACAGCATCCCAGACAACCATCCCACCAAATTCAAGGTAAATTCTTGCCCTTCCAACCCCATCAGAGGGCCTGGGACAGCTCTGACTGCACAAGGCGAGAGCAGACTTCTGTCCCTGCACACAAACATCCCTCCAGAGCATTTGCAAATTCATCACTTCTGGTTTGGTGGGGTTTTATTCCCCCTTTCCTTAAGAAACTCCTGCTGTGAATGTGTTTGTATTTGCTGCTAAATTGCCTCTGCTTGGGAAATGCAAGGAAATGGGGGACTGGAGAGAAAAACCTTTTATTGCTCAGGGCTGTGTTCCAGGGCCAGGGCTCAGCCACAGCAGCTGAGCTGCCAAGCTCGTGGGCTCCAGGGCTGACAGCTCCTGCCAGCCATGAATCCCTGCTCTCAGCTGGGAAAAGGCAGCAGGAAATGGAGGGGAATCCATGGAATTGCCCAGCTTGGTGGCTGGGCTGGGCTGGGCACTGCTCGGGGGCACCTAGAGGTCCCAGTCCAGCTCTGGGCAAGGGAGACATTTTGAGGCTGGAGCGTGTCCAGGGAAGGGAATGGAGCTGAGGAAGGGACTGGAGAGTGCTGAGGGAGCTGGGGAAGGAGCCTCAGGAGGGATCTTCTGATTCCACAACTCCCTGACAGGAGGGGACAACCAGGGGATGATCTGGGATCTTACCCCAGGGAACAGGGACAGGATGAGAGAGAACAGCTGCACCAGAGGAGGTTTAGGCTGGAAATCAGGAGGAATTTCCTCATGGAAAACCGTTCAGGCCTTGGAATTGCCCAGTGATTTCCCCACCCCTCAGTGTCCACCTGGCAGTGAAAGCAGAGATTTGAACTGGCTGCTCCCGGAGCTCTTTCGCAGCCCCAGCCGAGCCGTGGCTCTGACTTTCCCGCTGTGTCCCCTGCAGGTGACCAACGTGGACGATGAGGGGCACGAGCTGGGCTCGGGGGTGATGGAGCTGACGCAGAGGGAGCTCATCCTGCACACGCACAAGCGCGACGCCGTCAGGTGGCCCTACCTGTGCCTGCGCCGCTACGGCTTCGACTCCAACCTCTTCTCCTTCGAGAGCGGCCGCCGCTGCCACACCGGCCAGGGTCAGTGTCGGATCCCTGGGGATCTCTGGGGATCTCTGGGGATCCCTGGGGCAGGGTCAGTGTTTCAGGGGATCTCTGGGGATCCCTGGGGCAGGGTCAGTGTTGGGGGATCCCTGGGGATCTCTGGGGATCCCTGGGGCAGGGTCAGTGTTGGGGGATCCCTGGGGATCTCTGGGGATCCCTGGGGCAGGGTCAGTGTTGGGGGATCTCTGGGGATCCCTGGGGCAGGGTCAGTGCCTGGGGGGATCCCTGGGGCAGGGTCAGTGCCTGGGGGGGACCCCTGGGGCAGGGTCAGTGTTTCAGGGGATCTCTGGGGATCCCTGGGGATCTCTGGGGCAGGGTCAGTGTTGGGGGATCCCTGGGGCAGGATCAGTGCCTGGGGGGATCCCTGGGGATCTCTGGGGCAGGGTCAGTGCCTGGGGGGATCCCTGGGGATCCCTGGGGCAGGATCAGTGTCTGGGGGATCCCTGGGGCAGCAATGCTGAGTTTTCTCTCCCCGTGACACCTTGGGAGGCTCCCTAGAACAGAGGCTGGACAGAGTTAAAGGAATCAAGTCAGAGTTTATTAAAATAATGAAAAATTAATGATAATATTAATAAAATAAAATTTTAAACTTTTAAAATTAAAAATAAATAAAATAATATTATTATATTAAAAATAAATAAAATAATACTAAATAGTATTAAAATCAAAAGCCCTTCCAAGGATACACCTTAGGCACTACAAGAGCCCAGCCGTGGCTCCACACAAGACAGACCCTGGATAACGAGTTTTCACACTTTTATAAGTTGTGGCCCATTTAATTAATTTAATTATCCAATTACAGCTTCAGGTTATGAAGTCCCATCCTCCCAGGCTGCTCCATCCATTTGCAATTTGTACTTTTTGGGCCTGAAGCTGCAACGGTGCCCTCGGTTCTGGGGCTGGAAAAAAGATTGTTTTGTTTGAGTGCCCTGTGAAGAGAACTTGCTGACACTTTATGTGCAGTTCAGAGTTACATCCCAGTGCAGTTCAGAGTTTGGAAAATATGAAAGCTCAAATTTAAGGCATCACCCAAAGGCAGCTGATCCTCGTGTCTTCCCAAATTCCTGGTGCTGGGAACCCGTCTTTGTGCGCACACGGGGGATGCTCTGTGTTAAAAGTGTTAAATTTGGCATAAATCTGATGGCCTTGCCATGCTGGTGCTCCTGGGGATACTGAGGAAGCATTTTTGGGTTGTTACTCCATGCTTTGGTGCCCCAGTTGGGGCAGGAGGGTTTGCTGGGCCTTCCTCAGGAGCTTAAAAGCATTTGCAGGACTTTTTAAAGCATCTTTCAACTCAGGATAAAGCAGCACCTGCACCTTTCCCCATAATTTAGGGTTATTTATTCCACAGAGCAGCTTTTGTTTGAGTTTTGAGTTTTGTTTTCCTCAGTGCTTTTCCCCCACGTTGGTTCTACCCAGAGCTCCAATTTTGGGTCTGGCAGCACTTTGTGACAGAGGAAAAGGAATCCCACGTTTCCCTGATGTTGTGAGCACGGAGAGGGAAGTGACTCACCCAGGAGCTGATGCCAAGTCACCAGCAGCACTGGGAATAGTCTGGGAACAGAGGAATGAGTTTTACAATGGTGCCTCTTGGTTCCTCCACCAGTCTGTTGCTTTCAAAAAGAGCTGAACATTTCCTTGGCATCTGCATCTCCTGGGAGAGAAAAAAAAAAAAAAAAGTTGTTTCCTCATTCTGTTAATGTGTTTGTAAACTCCAAAAGGACTCCCCTGAGTGCTCAGGGTCTGTGTGAATCTGCTCTGGCATCTGCTGCTCTTTAATATTTATTTTAATGGGGTTTTCCACTCCTATCAGGGAATTTGTCCTTGGGTTTCTGCTTTGCCTTTTGCAGGGTGAGGATCAGTGGTGACAATTTAATCCAGAGATAAAAATTCTGCCCTCTGCGTGGTTTGGTTCTGTTCAGGTCCAGGCAGAGGGGATGAAGCAGAGCTCTCACACCCTGCAGAATTTTTAGCAGGCACTCTTTAAGCAGAAATGAGAGGGATGATGTTTTGTTTTCTCCCTTCCTTGCAGGATTTTATCCTGCTCATTAATTTCACCTGGAGCCCTCCTTGCTGATGCTGCTCCCCACCTAATGCAAGGCAGATCCAGCTATATTTTTTTTTTTTGCCAGAAGGTGGAAAACGTGGATCTTTGGGAGCAGCCCTTGTTGCCAGGCTGTTCCTGTTGCCATGGTTTGGTGTGTGCGTGTGCCAGCCTGGGATTGGCTCCTGGGCTGGGCTGCTCCTTTGGGGAGAGACTCTTCAATCCCAGAGATTTTTAAAAACGTGACGTTCCTGTCCCTCCCTCCCGTGCACAGGGCCCAGTCCAGCTTTAAGGAGTCACTGCCTGGATTTTGCCCTGGAAAAGGATGGAGTGGGTGCCAGGGGAGTTCAGACAGGAGAGGTGAGCAGTTCCCCTGGCCCTCCACACCCGTGTGCTGTGAGATTCCAGCGCTGAGGGGGTTTAAAGCCAGGCTGTGTGGAGCTCTGGGCTTGTGGCAGGCTGGCAGTGGAACTGGCTGATCTTTGAGGTCTCTTCCTACCCAAACCATTCTGTATTCCATGATTTCTGCTGTTATTTCCCAAATAATCCACAGGGTTGTTGCTTGTTCTCCTGTGGCTTGATGGTGTTAAACAACAGCAGAAGAGATCAGAATTCATTTAGAAGTGGGAATAACACGTATTTTTAAAGCAGGATCACTTCCTCTCTGTTCTGACCCTCCTCTCTGTCCCTGGCAGGGATTTTTGCCTTCAAGTGCTCCCGAGCAGAGGAGATCTTCAACCTGCTGCAGGACCTGATGCAATGCAACAGCATCAACGTGGTGGAGGAGCCGGTGGTGATCACCAGGAACAGCCAGCCCTCGGATCGGGAGCGAGCCCGCAGCCCCCAGCGCCCCACCAGTACGAGCCCATCAGAGTGTGGGGACAGGACAGGGGACACGGGGCTGGGGGTGACAGGGGGGTCCCATCAAACTGCCCCTGGATCCCGTGGCTGCTCCTGTTTTAAGGCCCCAGCGTGGGATTGGGTTTCTGAGGAAAACATGAAAAGCCCTTCAAGCAGTCAGGGCTGTCACCCCTCAGCTGCATTTGTCCAGGCCACCACTGCCAAGTGGCCTCTCCTGAGCAGCACTTGTGAGGGTCAGGTGGTTTCTGCAGGAAGCCACATCTGGAATGGCTCAATTCCTGTCTCCCTAAGGAATTCCTTTGATTTAGAGGAGGGCCTGGCCCCTGTGTGTGTGCTCCAGCCCTGGGATGGCCCTGGACAGCCTGGTTTTACCTTCCAGGGTGTCCAGAAGAGCCCAGCTCACTCTCAAAGTGTAATAATTCTATTTTGTACCGATTTAATGCTTCTCTGCCTTGATTCCCTCACAGGTCTGGGCTACACTGGACTTCCCAATGGATTCCACAGCTTCCCTGGAGAATCCCTGTCCTTCTCTGCAGCCCGGCACCCCTCAGTGAGCAGCCTGAGGCATTCCTCTGTGGGGGAAGACTCTACCCACCCCCTCCTGGGGCCTGAGGAGCAGGTAAACCCATCCTAAACTCCGCTGGGTGCAATTCTGGGTTTCCCTCACTCAAAGCTCAGGGGATCCTCACACCTTGTCACTCTTTTTATTCTCTTTCATTTTGCTTCTGGAGGCTCCTGCTCTTTGACACTTCACTAGAACTGGTGTTCTGTCCAAAAAATCTGAGTCCTATGCTCAACCCACTGGTGTTTGGGTGGCAGTTATCTGTCAGCTGTCACACAACCCCTAAATTCAGACCCTTTTTGGTTTTGAGGTTCAGCTCTTTGCTCGCAGTTGTAGAATTTTTAGATTTTTCCTACAAAACCCAGCTGGTCTGAGCCACCCCCAGGGCAGGCTGGGCAGGTGTGAGGGTTGTGGGATCAGCTGTGAGCCCCTCGAGGAGACAGTTTGTGAGACGTGACACAGAACCCCAGAATCACTGGGGGTGGAAAAGATTAAACCCAAGCTGTGTCTAATCCCCACCCTGAGCCCTGAGTGCCACCTCCAGGTGACACCTCCAGGGATGGGGACTCCAAACCCCCCTGGGCAGCCCCTTCCAAAGCCTGGCTGCCCTTTCCATGAGGAGATTCCTGCTGCTGTCCATCCATGTGGACACACGCTGTGTATATCTGCAGCTGGACTCTGCCTCTCTCCCAGCCCACAAAACCCAAACCAACTTTTACATTTTGCATCCCAAAACCTTCCCAACCTCCAAAATCCCTTTTTTTCTCGTCAGCCACTGATAAATTCCTTTCTCCTGGTGGTTTCTCAGCTGCTTTGCTCTGGTCTCTGCTGTCTCCTCCTTTCACTGTCCCTCTGCTTCTCTCCTTGCAGTCCCACACCTACGTCAACACGGCCACCGGGGAGCCGAGGGGCCGGCACTGTATGCACTCCTTGCCTGAAGCCCACCCTCCTTTCCCCCCTAGGAACCACAGCTGCTCCCTGGAAGACCGCAACCCTCAGGTCTTCCTGCAGCCAGGGGAGGTGAAATTCGTGCTGGCTCCCAGCTCCGGCTACCGCCGGCTGTGCCGGCACCCCCGGGAATGCCGGCCGCACCTCTGTCCCCCCAACAACAACAACAACGAGTGTCAGGAGGGGTGTCCGTCCCCACAGTGCGTCTACGAGAACCTCAACGGGCTGGTGGCCCCCGGCACCTCGTCCCTGTGCCGGGCTGGCCGCTCCAAGGCGGCCCGGGAGGACGGGAGCCGCTGCCAGCGCCGCTCGGCCCTGCTGCACTACGAGAACCTGCCGGCGCTGCCGCCCGTGTGGGAG